ATCCAACCACCAACCAGAACTGTGCAGTGCATGTGAAATGTGTAGGATATATGCATGTACCAAACTGCTTTTATAATGTGTGTAGATGATTTTCTTCAAAATTTTTTTTTATACTTCTTACAAAAGGTACGAGACAAAAAAAGAGAATGTTGCTATAATTTACTCAAAGGCCATACCAAGTAAGTCTACAGCCCTCTACTGAATACGTTTTTTGTGCACTTATACACAATAATTCATACCATACGAATAAATAATTCACAATAACAGTTCATGCTGTTATTGCCATTATCTAGTATTGGTTTGTATTGCAGTTAGCATCTAAACTTTGCTAATCACATGCAAGTTAAAAAAATCTACTGATGCAAAGAGCTTAGCTTTTGTTAACAGTTAAGAAATGGGCACTACAGTGAAAGCTGCAATGCAGAAAAATGCAAAGTGGCAGAAAAATGCTGGAGTTTTTTGTACTCATTATTACAGTAGTAACAGATTTTTGTACTAAATTGCTGTTGATGACAGGATCATGGGTAAGCATTTCCTATTTCTCCCGCCCTTCTTCCAACTTGATTAGGAGAAAGACTCCCCAAAAAAGCCCAGCAATCCCTCCTTCACTCCCTCCCTCCCGTTTCTTAAACCTAGTTTTATTTGCTATGTCAGATCATGCTGCTATACAAACACACTGCAGAAACAGAGAAGCTCAATGTATACATTGAGACAGCCCTGTGTGATATTGTCATCTAACCACCAGCATCTCCCCAGCAATGACCTGAAATCCCAGGACTGTACTCAACTGCTCCAGTCCTCCTACTATGGTAAAAATCTCTCTTCATCTATTTTCAGTTCTGCAATCTTCAGTCTTCTCCTTTTGCATGCTTTGAAAAATACGGGAGCAGCTGCGTCTGCCAAAGTTCCATGTGGAATAGTGATTTCTTATGGTGGAAAAATATGCTCTGCACATTAATACCAGAAGTCAAGTCCATTTAATCTGAACAAGGACTTTTATTGTCTTATGCAGTTTGGGAGGATTTGGGAGGCCTAGTCTCCAAACTTTGTAAGATATCAATCTTCTAGGTGTTAGAGGGTAGCAGAGTTTTTGTCATCATAGGCACACATATGTAAAGATACAATATAGACTCCAGGTTCCTGTGAATGTCTAGTTAAGAGATAGACATGGGATAAACAGCTTTCCTATTTCCTTTTATTAACTTTGCCCTACATAGTTTCATGAATCTCTAAGCATTTTTCTCCTCCCTTGTGGCTTGTATAGAAGTGCATAATATGGAAGGAGGTACCTTTTTTCACCATTTTGTTTTTATTTTTCAGATATTTCACGACACACAAAAAGGCAAACTTTAAATGTTTTTTTTTTATGAAGAGAACCACACCATGGCTTTAACATTACAGTTAGATCTGTAAACTCTATCAAATCGTGACCCCAGTCTAACTTTTCCTTTCTCTCCCTTTCAGTTTTCACTCAACTAGCTACTTCTCTTCATCTCCAAAAGTGGTTGTTTGTTGTTCTCATACGGTTGTAGCCACTGCTATTGTTTCAGGATTGAATTTGGCAGAGGAAAGGAGCCCATGATGACTGGGCATCTGTAAAAATACCCACCATGAAACTATAAAATTTTATAAGTTTTAGTTTAAAACAATTCATATTTAAAATTATTAATAAGAAGCTCCCCTAAACCATGAAGCTAAAATTTGGGCATTTCTTTATTACTTTCCTTTTCTCCAATTTTGTTTACATGAACTGGAATCTCTGTATGTAGAGTTCTTTATTTCAATCTTACCATTATTTTCCCAAGTGTGGGAAGCAGGAAAACTTCTTTGGAGTCTTTTATCTCTAGACATGCATTAATTTGTACACTGCCCAAAATGTATCCTCTTTATTACTTTAAAACACCCAGCATATTAGCAAATCTTCATTTATGCTTCAGTGATTCTTTAGGAGGAATCTCCAACTGCCCTGCTGCAGTGCTCTGTGTAACAACCTTTCTTACCAGATGAGAATACTGCTTGACCAAAATAGTTTCTGTACTGCATGTGGATATTAATGGCTCAAATCCAATTTTTAAAAACATGTATTTGTTTAAACAAGTTGATCATGAAGAAGATTTTGTGTCTAGAACTTATTATTTATTTAATGTCCCCCTTCCACAATAATCATCTGAGTTGCTCAAAGTGGTCTTGTGGCACGTTTGAATAAATAGTAAGATTACTCCAAACAGACTTTTTAAAGCTCAAAACAAGCCCATCTTTCATTTAGAAATATCCATGCATTATCCACAATGCATCTGTTCAGCATACCAAATTTTGTAAGTATTTCCCTTAAAAGAAAACTCTAGAAATAAAGGCAATTGCTTATGTAAGCAATTTGAAAGTTAAATATGGTCTTAGAAGAACTGTGGATGGAAAACAGTTGCTTGGTACTGCATGATTAGTCCACTGAGGTTAATTAGCTATCCGTTCACATTTTGCAGGAGCCACGAAGCAATGAGAGGTAATCCAAAGTTTGGATTGAATTATTCTGTCTCTTGCAGGGACTTGGAAATGGAGTTTACAAATTTCCAACCGTGTGCAGAGAGTGGTATGTTTTTTTTCTTTAGAAAATTGCTGTTTGGAAACAGTTTCAGCAATACATTACAATGCTGTTATAGTCATGAGCTACCAAGTTTTCATTGGTAAGGAATCCTTCACTAGTCATGAGCTGGATATTTAATTGCACACTTCTGGGATTCTCACGTTGCTCTGTGTTTAGTCTATAAGTAGGGCCCCATTTTACAGGCCTACTGTCCTCATGACTCATGTCCTATGGATCTCTCTCACTGATGTATAAACACTGTGTTAGGAGATGTTCACCATGTACTCAATCAAGGCACATGAAAAGTCTCTACAGGTGGCATGCATTGGACAGATGACTGCTTACAGCTCTTGGCGGGGGTGTGAAGAGGGTACTGTTATCTGGGTGTGTATACATGTTACTCATCAAGGTGCTTTGGCATAGAAGGCATGCAGGTCCTACAGGGAGGCACTGAGCCATTGCTGAGTAGTGAGAAAATCCCAGGTCCTACCAGCCTACAGCCAGGAGAGCTGAGAAACAGTTGGTTGGGGTTAGTGTCTGCTGCTGGGAGGAAGGGGAAACAGTCTGTTTCCAGGTCTGCCCTTCATGTAAGATCTTATCTGTGTCCAGTGTTCAACCCTGTAACTCTCTTTTCTGCCTCACCTGTCCGGTGTCTTCTGTGTAATATTTTTTAGCTTTGCAACTGTCTGTCAATAGCTGTTTACCTAGAGCTGAACTGCAGTAGGAAGCTGTCTTATCTTGCCTGTCCATGACTATAATCATAGAAGCATAGAATCACAGAATAGTTAGGGTTGGAAAGGACCTTAAGATCATCAAGTTCCAACCCCCCTGCAGTGGGCAGGGACACCTCACACTAAACCATATCACCCAAGGCTGCGTCCAACCTGGCCTTGAACACTGCCAGAGATGGAACATTCACAGCTTCCCTGGGCAACCCGTTCCAGTGCCTCACCACCCTTACAGGAAAGAATTTCCTCCTTATATCCAATCTAAATTTCCCCTGTGTAAGTTTTAACCCATTACCCCTTGTCCTGTCACCACAGTCCCTAATGAAGAGTCCCTCCCCAGCATCCCTATAGATCCCCTTCAGATACTGGAAGGCTGCTATGAGGTCTCCACGCAGCCTTCTCTTCTCCAGGCTGAACAGACACAACTTTCTCAGCCTGTCTTCATACAGGAGGTGCTCCAGTCCCCTGATCATCCTCGTGGCCCTTCTCTGGACTTGTTCCAACAGTTCCATGTCCTTTTTATGTTGAGGACACCAGAACCGCACACAGTACTCCAAATGAGGTCTCACGAGAGCAGAGGGGCAGGATCACCTCCTTCGACCTGCTGGTTACACTCCTTTTGGTGCAGCCTGGGATAAGGTTGGCTTTCTGGGCTGCAAGCACACACTGCCCCCTCATGTTCATTTTCTCATCAACCAGCACCCCCAAGTCCTTCTCCGCAGGGCTGCTCTGAATCTCTTCTCTGCCCAACCTGTAGCTGTGCCTGGGATTGCTCCGACCCAGGTGTAGGACCTTGCACTTGGTATGGTTAAACTTCATGAGGTTGGCATCAGCCCACCTCACAAGCATGTCAAGATCCCTCTGGATGGCATTCCTTCCCTCCAGCGTATCAACCGAACCACACAGCATGGTGTCATCGGCAAACTTGCTGAGGCGCACTCAATCCCACTGTCCAATAATAAAGTATTAAGACATGGGAGAAGCTTAAGCAGGGAAGCCTGGCTTGGATTTTCTTCATTATTCTATTCCTTTTTCATAGCACTGTGTTTGACTTATGAATAAAAGAGATTATGAGATATCTATAGTACAGACTGGTGTGTGACATGACTATAAAGAGATAAGAAAGAGGTGCTGCACAACATCTCTCATTACGTCATATATTTACTATTAATGTATGTTCAGGTAATTGGATCTTTGCCTTGGCTGAGCTCCTATCTGGAAGACATGCTGTTTCACTACTGGCCCAGTCTATTACTGTTGATGGGCCTGAGAGGCATTGAATTGGAGGTTTTTGTTCTTATGCATTAAAAAAAAGCAAATAAATAGCAATGATGTGCTTTATTCAATCTCTACTTATCAGATTATTTCTGACCTCACCTGAACTTCTCCCTTTGCCAGAGCTGAAACTGCATGCATGAGAGGAGACCGGCTTAAACCAGTGGTGCATTAAATCAAACGTTAATATTACATGTGCAAATAATTATCAAAAGGACTGGTAAATTATGTGTTCAGAGAGGCCTTATACAGTGAGGACAAAGACTATTTCAGTGTTTTCAGACCAAGAAATGAGGCCTTTTTGTTCCTCTCCCAGAGCAAGTAGCACCGAAGTGCGTGTTGGCAGTTTGCTTGCTCCAGAGTCTGAAAGAATGCTTGGTTTGCAAAATTATCATCTCTTCTATTTTATTCCGCAGTTATGAATTCCACGTGAAACCTAGAAACCCTCTTGGTGAAGGTCCAAGTAGCAATGTTGTGGCCTTCAGTACTGAATCAGGTGAGAGCTTCCAAAGGTCTGACCGTCATTTACAGTGGCTCTAGTATTCAAGTTTGGGGGATATATGAAAGGCTCTCTTGCTTCATTTTGTGCATTTGGTCTTGCTCTTCACTATATCCAGACTGCCATTTTACTACTGAACATATTACAGTAGTGTCTGGAAGGTCAGCTGCATTCAGGGCTGTATTGTGTAAGGATGTAAGATGGCCAGAATGCAGGAGAAACAAACACGAGCACAGAGAGTTTGGTGCTCATTATGAAGAAGCCTAATTCCTTAGAGAAGACTCAGTCATTTAAGATTAATATTCCTGACCTTTTTGTATCTATCAAACTCATTAATGACTTCTGGATGGGGAACATAAGGTTTTTCTTTGGGCTGGTGTGTTTATGGGCACCTTTGCTACCTGTTCAATAAGGCTGCTGTATAATAGTGATGTCTTTTGGCTAAAATAAGGATTGAGATATAGCAGTTGGGAAAAGCTGATGATCCAGTATGTCCCCTTCTGTCCTGTTTACTCACCTGTGAAACTGTTAAAAAGGTGTCTACAAGCCTGTTTTGACCGTAGGCGGTTCCCAAGTTAAGTCCTATCTGACTCAGAGGTGAGAATTGGAGACTGCCTTTGCTTTCTCTGTTCCAGATCCCAGTAAGGCTAACTACAGTTGACTTGTTGATTTTATACAAGCATGATACCATCTTTTGTGTAGAAGTGTTTATGGGTTGGTAGTACTTAAGGATCGTATAAAACACAAAATAGATTTAGCCTTTTTTTTCAGTCTGCATTTTGAGCCAGGTGTAGTAATATTATAGTCCTCATCTAGTGCTAGATCTAGTCCTCATCTAGTCCACTGATGATGGGAGATCTAGCTGAGCAAGGGATTAGTCAGGGAGGAGTTCAGACTATGCCACACATACTTAAAAATTGTGAATGCACTCTTTGTAATCCTAAATTGTTAAAACTGAAAAAAATGTTTGTGCCAAGTGTAGTTTTCAGGAATGACAAGGCTTATGTTCTGTCTGCTATTTAGCTTGGACGAATTATGCAGTCAGTTTTATTTTTTCTTAATTGCACACATCCATTTCTCACTTTTGGGCTTTCATAGCCAAGTTTTTGAGTGGCAAGTATTACAGAGGGGTCCTTTTTATTATTTTAAGTTTTGGAAATGAAATTTTAAAAAAGATGCAGTAGAATTGGGTTTTGCTGGTTATGGGTTTAAGCTCTTGTTTTTACTAGAACTGTGTTTGACTGGTATTGTCCCATAGGTGAAATTTCTAAAAGCCCATTGATATTGTAGTTTCACATAAAAATATATTCCCTTTATTTAATTTGGTACAAAAAATCAACTTTTCTTCCAAAACTCTTTCTGTTTCACAAATTACAGCTTAGGTCAGCTGTAGAAAAACACTTACCAATGCTTTTCCATTGAAACACTGGGAAAGTTCTTTTTACAGCATCTGATTGAATGTTTGTTTTCTTCCCCCAGCGGACCCAAGAGTGAACGAGCCAATTTCAAGTAAGCCTTTTATGTATAGTATAGAGTCTTCTGATCAGGAAGCTTGTCAGAAATAAGATAGCATAATTTTACGAGGGGGGTGGCTGCCCTACACCAGTTAAATGAGTGATGGAATCAAGAAGCATTCGCACATTATTTCACTCCTTCCACCCATACCCCTGGTAAGGAATTCATGCCAGGCTGCTTGTTTACCTGAGCGGAACACAGCCGACGTGATGTGGTGCTTCCATGGCAGCTGGGATGGCTTCAAACCAATATACACAAATGAGCCAAGGACAGCGTCATATTTTCTCAGCCTTGTCGCTAAGGCAAAAGAAAGCTCTGTAAAATGAGTAAGATACTCCATGCTTTTTAAGTGAGTTAACAGAGCACAACTCAGAGGATGTTATTTATCTGCCATTGTGCTTTAGAAAAGTTTTCTACTTCTGAAAGCTTGATCCAGCTCTGCTTCAGGACACTTAGAAGAGGCTCTTGCTGTCTTTTGTGCGACGTTTTGAAGAAAAGCTGAGATCACTCAAGCAAATTGGGCTGCTTTTTGCATCTGTAATGGGCATCACTTTGACAAACACTGAGACACCCATTACTTTCCATGTACTTCATGACACAAATTTTTATGTGTATTTTTGCTAAATCATATACAATTTGCTGCAAGTTGACTGTCCTGGCTTGAACACACTGAAAAACAGTGACTGTATCACAAACCTTGTGAATGAGTTTTGCCAACACACAGTCACTGTCCCCCTAAAAAGGTCCTAGTATGAGCTTATTCCAAACTGGCACCACACACAGAGAGCAGCAGCAGTTCACTGCATCAGTCATATCTGCAGCCTTTGATGCTTCCCTGACAGATCTTTCATGTTCAAAATGCAGGTGACTTGTGCCATGGTGCATTCTGCTCCCTCAAGGCTTCTATTTCTATTTATTTGAATGTATTTGTTGTACATAATTTTGTGTGCAGCATCATACTTCAGCCTCTTTTTTTCTTCTCCTGCAGTGGGAAAGGATGCTATCTGGACTGAAATCCCATTCAATTCAGACACCTATTCAGAATGCAAAGGGAAACAATACGTAAAGAGGACTTGGTATAAGAAGTTTGTAGGTGTGCAGCTGTGTAACTCTTTGAGATACAAGATATACCTCAGTGATTCACTTACGGGTAAGAGACATTCAAATCAGTGTTGTCCATATGATATGCTTCTTAAAGATATCATGGTTCCAGAACTAAGAGGTTTAATATAGACAAGCTCTACTGAATTGTGATCATGTGTGTTAAATCAGGTCCATAGGCAGACTAATGAGCACAGTAGATTGGTTGTGCTCAGTAATCATTGATGTGTTTGATACTGAATTTTCAGACTCAAGAGTTACTTCTCTCTGACAGTCATTTGATTTTATTCATCTGAATACCTGTTAGTATCCCAGCAGTCATACAGAAAATTGAGATAGATCACATCTCTGCCAGTGAAGGTGCCAAATTTGTATTTAAAGGGTAGCCTGGAGTAGTTCTTAATTAGAGGATTAGGGCCTCATTTGATACCAGGACTGAACTCAGTCATTCCTATCCCATTTGATAAACATCTGGTTACTTCATTACTTATAAATAAATAGCTGCAACTCTGGTCAACAAGGGTTTACTGACCTGTGTTGACATTTTTATTTTGTTATCACATTCCATATTTCGCTTACAAGCTCTCTCTTCTCCGCTCCACCACTCTGCCGCCTTCTGTTGAATTACTAACAGCAGCCTCCTGGCCTTATCTTCTCAAGTTTTGTTCAGTGTCTGAAGTCACTGGAGTGTGATGTCTTTAAGACCTGAATCAAGTGACATATGCTGTGTATAAGCTGGGGAGACAGCCTATAAAGTGTTTTTCAGGGTAGGTGATAGTTCAGCAGAACTTTGTGTCTGATGCAGATTGTACAACCTATATTTAGAAATATGTTAACTTCTTATAATCCATCCCAAGATCCTGGCTTTCTTCAGTCTTTCATCAGAGCTGCATAGACAACTCTATCACAACAATAATAGTATGTCAGCCAGAGTAGGAGGAGTATATGTAACTGTGCACAGGAAATATCTTTTGAGTGTAAGTTAGAGGTAGTATGTTCATTACTTTGAATTACATTAACTAGGAGAAACTGTGACTTTGTAATCCAAAGTTGCCCCATCTTGGAGCTCAGCACTTCACAGGAGCAGGACTCTGCTCTCTGTACACATGGAAAGAAAAGAGCAGGAGAGGGTAGGGCAGCCCATGCCAATACAATTTTAAGCTGTACGGCCTTGAACCTGCTACCATGCTCCCATGAGCAGACAAGGAAGGAAAGCAAGTACAATACCTCATACATAAACAATACCTTGGCAGTTATGTGAATAAAAGCAACTGTTTTGAACAGAGAGATTATTCATTCAGCTGTTGCTGTACTAACCGTGATCAAATGACAAACACTGGCACTGAGGCACAGCGTATCACAAAACCAGCCAGTAGAGGAAATAGCAGTGCTAATCTAGCAGGACTCAATTTTAGCCCCAAATCAGTGAGGTAACACTGCAGTGAAAGCTACTTCACTCTTAGAAGAAAAGTTCAATGTATTAGGAGCCCATTTTCCCATTTTCATCAGATTGTTTTTGTTCTTGCTGGAAGGGTGGTGACTTAACTTGCTGGAGAAAGATTATGGCAGCCACATTGTATTCGTTATACTTGCTAAGCCTGGTTCTTGCCCTTGAGTTGTTACAACCAGTGCTGACCAGTTGTCAACAGTCGTTGAAATAACTGAAATATTTATGATGAAGGAAAGCGTCCTGTCCCATCCCCCCATTTCTTAAGTGAGACTGCCATGGCATGGGCCTCTGTATGTGAGTGAGGAAGTTTCCAGCTTGAAGCCAGACTCTGTTCAGATGTGCTTCGCTGTCATACCTCATCTCACCATGCCCCCACGGCCAGAGGATGAAATCCTGCCAGTGCCAGCCAGCAGTGAGGGGCTGCGCTGAGGTCCCCAGTTCCACCATATGCTGAAAATACCTTCTGGAGCTTTGCTGTTTAAGCAGCACAGTGATCTTGAACTTTGGGTGCATTGTGCAGATGCTGTTCTACAAGGCAGCCAACAACCATATCACTGCAAACTGGTTTTAGCATATATTTCTATGTCTACAGTTGCAGAATTCATAATGTATAAAACAAAGATGGTAACTAATTTTCTTAAGACCACCCATATGGGAACACTGGAAAAAAAAAGAAAAATTTACTTTATGCTGGAATTGCTAACCCCAGATGAGAAAGATAAATCCAGCCATTTGTCAGCTAAATATTTTTAAGTGTGTTCCTTTATTATGGAAAGAGTTGGGAAGTAAAAATTTACTGAGAACACTGCTAATTTATGTATAGAAATTGTTGGAATTATGCATAGGTTACGCTGTGGGCCAGGAGAGTGTGTGCATATCTGAAAGTTATGGCTCTTGTGTTAGCCATAAAAATATCTGGTTTATTCAGTCTCATGAAGAAAAAACTGATCTATGCTACACATGCCAGGACTGTTCTATAAACCAGCATCTACTGCTGACCTCATTTAACAGTCCTCCAGAGCAGTCAGTGCAGGCATTTCAGAAAAGCAGGCCACCTAAAGAAAAAAGTATTTATTAAGGGGAGGAAAAAAAATTCTAAGTGTGACCTTCAACGCCATGGAAAAAAAAATGCTGGTTTGGGCAGCAATTCAAACCAAAGAATTGCTGAAAGGAACTCCCTCTGACCAGTTCTCCTATGGAAAAAAACATGCCTGCAGCCAGAACTGGATAGTCATAAATAATTTTCTAAAGCTAGGGAAGAACTGTGTGCACAGACACCATCAGCTGGAGGTGAGGATTCTTGGCAAAGCACTGATCAGATAAAAAAAATAATATGAGAAAAAGAACGTTTATTGGTAGTCTGCTACTTTATTAATTGCACCTTAGGGAGCAGTAACATAAGCCATCTCACCATCCCTCAAATGGCCAGACTGGCGCAGATTCAAGACGCCCAGCATCTAACTGGACTTCCTGCTTAGCTCACACTTGAGTACTGAGCCTGTATCTAAAGGCTCTCACATTTCCTTTCAACCTCACAGCCAAAGGCTGAACGTAGTAAGAAGTGCTATGAAAGGAGTTTAGAGAAAAAGGTACATTTATCTGAGAGTATTTCCTGCCAGGGCTTGGAAAGAGAGTGTAGCATCAATTCCTCCATCTTCTGAACTAAGTTATTACTAATGTCCAGCAAACCAAATCAGTTAAGTAAAAACACCTCCGTCAGAATTCCTTCACTGTGCTCTTGTTAACAGGGTAAGCACAGCCCACAATATCAGCACATGCTCCATGTGGCATTTGAGACCTTGTTTTCTACTCAGTTGCAGTCAAGTTAAGCAATCCTGCAAATAAATACAAGGGCACACTTCATGTTCTGGATAGCAGTTACTATACTGGGGTCATATATTCCTTAAAGGCTATCACTTGCACATACATGTTGTAAAAATGTGATGATTTATAAAACAGGCTTGGGTGTCTTATGAGGTGACACAAAAACATCCTTGAAGGTACTGGGGGCTCTGTGAAAGGAACCAAATCTGCCTTATGTTGAAATCACTAGCAAAACTCACCTTATTTTTGGTAGTATCAGGATGAGGTTCTAGGTAATAACAGAATTTTGCTTACTGTATGAAATGTAAGGTGGGGAAAAAATGCATTCAGGTATAGGTTTTGGCCATGAATTAGGCACTTTTCTCTATAGCCAAGAGCACTGTACTTGGAGTATGCACATAATATTCAAATTACAGCTACAGATCCTGGGAGGAAAAGAATCGTAGCATTCACCTTGGTTTCCCCACGGAGCAAATTTCACAGCCCATGGCCTCCGGTGGTTGTTGGAAATAGCCCTCACTGAACATTGCTGCTTGTTTGCTTTCAGGAAAATTTTATAACATAGGAGACCAGCGGGGCCATGGAGAAGATCACTGTCAGTTTGTAGACTCATTCTTAGATGGAAGGACAGGACAGCAAGAAGATCTGCCGGTCAAAGACGGTAATTCCTTATGCCTCTCTGTGTAGCAACCCTTGACAATTCCTTTGTTTGCATGTTTCTTTTTCCTGCGGTGGATGCAATGCCCACTGCCAGGGCGGGTGATGTAAAGGGAGAACTGGCTTTGCAGGCAGAACAGGCTTGAGGGGCTTTTGAAGATGAACAATGACTTATCAAAAGACGGTTATGACTCAGGTTCTGTCAGGTAGTAAACAGCCTTCCGCCTGTCTCAAACATGCCAACAGATTATTCACAGCTGGTGTTACATACTTAAATCCAACCACAAATTTGTGTTTGCAGAGAGGCATGAAGTGTTATGTTCAAACTAGTAAGGTTGATTTAAAGTGCAGTAAATCAGCAGCTGGGCATTAAACAGCTTTGTTTAGTCTTAATTAAACACCAAAAGGTTATTACTGGAAAACATAATTCACACTGCAGTAATTCTGTGTGCACTCATTTGAACCAAGTGCCTAGAATTCCAGCCTGGTCTGACTGAGCATGGGACTGGATGTCCTAAATGCAGCCTGCCCCATGCCTATGGCTATGGTTCACATGTTGCTGAGGCTAAACCGTAAGATTGTCCTTCTGTCAGCTGAGTGCCTGCCTTGCTTGCTGGCAGCAATGCTGCTGTGAAGGGTTCCATGCCCTTGAGGGGGCACGGACACAGGCAGCATTGATGTGCATGGCTGAGTGTGTCAGGGAGTATTTTACCAAGGAAGATAGAACGGTTTTTGGTATGGTATCAGTGTGTTGTCCAAACCTTCCTGAAGGCAGTGCTTCATCCTGAAGGTAGTGCTTCAAGTCTTATGAGCAACTGCTGAAGGATCTGAATTTCTTTATTCTGGAGAAAAGGAGGCTCAGGGGGGACCTTATCGGTCTCTAAGCCTACCTGAAAAGAGAATATAGCAAGGAGGTAGCTGGTCTCTTCTCCCAAGTAACAAGTGACAGGACAAGAGGTAATGGCCTCAAGCTGTGCCAGGGGAGGTTTAGACTGGATATTTAGAAAAATTTGTTCACCGAGAGGGTGATCAGGCATTGGAACAGGCTGCCCAGGTAAGTGACAGAAGCACTGTCCCTGGAAGTGTTCAAAAACCATTTTGATGAAGCCCTCAGTGACATGGCTTAGTGGGTGGTCTTGGCAGTGCTGGGGTAATGGTTGGACTTCATGATCTAAAAGGACTTTTCCACTCAGCTGATTCTATGATTTATAAAGCACCTTATGGAAGTACAGGAATGTGCTGACTTAGATGAGGGAGACCAAAGTGCCAAAATCTCTCACAAGTTTTCCTGAAGAGAGTTAGGTAAATGAGCTTAAGGGCGTTTGCTCATGGGATTTTTTACTGGGGGGGGGGGGGGGGGGGGGGGTGTTTTTTTTTTTATTTAAGAGGGCTTTGCTTTTCCTTTCCCCATCACTGTTGCCCATTTGTAAAGGTGCTTTCTTTGTTGTAAGGGATTGTCTGAATCCAATCTAAAATGTCTTTTAAGCTTTTTTTTTTTAATTTAAGTGAATCTGCGCCAGACATTTAAAACCGATTTGTTTTCTGCAACTGGATTTATTGAGTGAATTCATCAGCTACATTAATTTTGTAGAGACAAAGAAAAAAAAAAAAGCCTAAGCAAAAAAGCCAACAAAACAACCAACAGAAACCCTATTTCTGCCATAGCGTGTCTTCTAGTCAATGAACTGGACAGAGGAAAGAACAGATTGTTGTTGTGGGGTTCCTCCCTGGCTGCAGCAAGACGAGCTCTGTTCAAACTGGAACTAACTACACCCATTTGCCCAAAGTGCAGGGTGAATGATGACTACTGTTGTGTATTAGTGGCAGAACAGTCACTTGTGTGTGTGTGAGCACAGGTGCATGCTTTAGCCACACACACATTCCTGATGATCAGGTTAAGTTCAGCACTAATGCCTCACTTTAACCATTTGACTGGCAAGCATGTGAATTGTCATATGGAACAGTTGGAATATGTAGCATTTCTTTCACCTGGGGATGGGGAGATAGTGTGAAATATCCCGAGCTGTCAGGTTTTATTTAGGTTTACTGCAGTGTCAAGGCTGCTGCAGTGGGAACCATTCAATCATTATAACTTTGTGAGGAAGAACCATCTCTTGTTTAGAGAAGCCACCAGCAGCTGCAGCCAAGGGGAAACTAAGGCAGGAGTCTTGGCCCAGCCCTGCTAGCACCACCCATGGGTGAGTGCTGGGTCCTCAAAGGGAGGGAGGTTTCACCTCTCCTGCACTGCAGACATCCCAAGGGCTGCTGCTTGTGTTGGGAGTTCGGTGGAAAATGCCAGCGTGCCCTCCGTGCAGGGGCAGCACAGTGCTGTGTGTGGCACGCAAGCTAACAGCTCAGGGCCTAGTGTAGCCCTTACTTGAGCTGCACACGGACATCACAGCGTAATCAAAGGAAGTTGTCCTGTGAAGGCTCTATGCAAACCCAACCCTGTTCTCTGTTGTAGGATTTTTCAGGGCCGTCCGTCAGGAACCTGTCAAATTTGGAAAAATTGGTGGAGAGACCGACATTAACTATGTTCGCTGGTATGAGTGTGGAACATCGATTCCTGGGAAATGGTAGATGCTACGTGAACGTGGAAACAAGGCCTAGCCACTTCCCACCCGCCTCTGCCCAGCATGGGCTCAGAGATGGCAATGTCCACAGTACACCTGGCACTGCAGTTGAGTTTGCTGATGTGCAAGGGTTTATATGAGTCTAATGCCAATACTACATTAATTGTGTAATAGCGTAGGCTGCTTACTGTATGTAGTTATCCAGTTTTACAGACCTGGTTTTAGATTTAAAAAATAAATTCCAGCCAGGCTAGGGCCATGTTGTAGGATACTGTGTAGGGAAGCTGGCTCCCTATTCCTGAGGTATGGTTTATATGGTATTTTAAAAGATACGGTGTGTATATTATTTATCACAATGTTGCAATAAATGTTTAAGGCACAGTTATGGCAGAGTTGGTCATGGAACACAACGTGCTTTAGTTCTTAAGTATCCATTGGTCTTCTACAACACAAGTGCCATAAGCTCCCTGTCCAGATGGATCTGTCATAGAGAAGACACTACAATTGTTAATATCCTGCAACCAGTAAACTTGAATCGCTGTCTCTTTACCTGTTATACAAACAGTTTATACTCCTGCCAGCACACAAGAGGGAGATTGCTCTACATGCAGCTTTGCATCATCAGGTTAGTGGGTTTTTCGAAGGCTCCAGCTCCAGCAGCAGAGCACATTCAGCCCCTTGCTGCAGAGCTGGACTGCAATGGGTGGTTGGGCTACCTGAAAGCAGGCAGGTACTTATGGACAGAGAGTGACAAACATGCCCCTCAAGGCTCCAGCTTTTCGTAGGAGTGTAGTTTTTGGAGGCTGAGACTTCCTGGCTCAAAAGCTAAGTGTACATACAGGGGGCTTGGAAAGAGAGATGAAATGGGAAAATAATAAGCTATTGTTGTTACAGCATAATCGGTTTATTTAAAACAAGAAAGTGTTCACTGGGGACAAAGGGGAAATAGTGATAACTTAACTTTAAAACTGCCTTACAGTTAATTAAAACCTCTCCCAAAGCTACTTGTACTGCTTGACCATTTATGAACTAAAGAGATGTAGGTTTTTCTAAAGGTGTTATTCACAACATTACTAAAGTATTTGAAAAATATGAACAGGAACAGCCAGATATATATATAGTAGAAATAGTCATTTATAGAAAATGCCTTATAAAGTACATTGCAGGTACACTGTACTCCTAATAAAGTATTTTTTAATCAAGTGGTTTTCTTCAGAGTTTTCCATGAAAAGAAATACTAGCTCCTGTGGCAAATGCTGTTTACTTCAGCAAGCAGTTTGTTCTGGACTGGTGTGACCAGCCCCATAGGCATTAGGGCTGAGGAGAGCATAAACAGCAGGAGGTGCAGCTTACAGGGGAACAGGGAGGTCCTCAAGGAAGGAAATTTATTCACTCCTTAATTCCTAAGTTGTCTTTATGAGAGTTCAAGCAGCTTACTCCAGTTTTGGTTTTTAGATTTCCTGCTTAGTTTTATGTATTCCTAGAATCCATAAGATGGAAAATATTAGCTGGGAGAATGCTTTGCCCTCTGCTGTCGCATGTGCCACTGAAACTGCTACAGCTCTTGATCTGCTTTTTCTTGGCTCCACATCAAGTCACTAGAATGGCATTCTCAGATTTTTCTGAGCGGCAAAGAACCTGTGGAAAGTTGTTCATTTTTAAGAGTTCTGTTTTAAAAATATGTATTTGGCCTAAATTTTCAAGCAGTAAAGCAGTTCTCCCCTGCTCCTGTTAAAAGCAAAATTGATATGGGGCTTTAAGATGTGCATTGGTTCCTACTCATTTGGTACGAGGGCTACATGGCAGTTAGGAACAGCAGACAGAACAAAACCACCTACTGCTGCATAATCTCTGCAAGAGCAGGCTCTATGGACAACCCCTTCTCCATTTACACACCTAAAACTCTTGTCTCTTCCCCTACCAACCTGGGCATGCCTGATCTTCACCTTGGTGGCTGCAGATCCACCATGCGCCCAGTTACGGTGTTCAGCATTCTCAGCTCTCAAATCAAGACCAGGCATTTAATAGATTCAGGGGTTTTATTAGTTTTCCATGTGAGCATTACAATTTATAATACATCTAGTTTTACCTCCAGAATCAATCTAATTTAGTACATCATGGTATTAGTAAAACCAAGCCTGGTAAGTGGGCTACTGTTCCTGTCCTTCACAAAAGGCAAGCTAGAATGTCAATCACTTTACAGACACTTAGGAAGTGTTTCCTCAAAACCACCCAGCCCCAAATTAAATGAGGAAGCAGGTACAATTTGAAGCAGAAAAGATTGGTCATTCCCCTCCCCCAGCAGAACTGAATTAACAGCTACAGTTTTGCCTTGTTACAGTTTTGGAACCTCAGTTGAAATACCTGGAGTAGCTCAGGATGGAGTTACAGCTGCCCAGGCCAGTACCTCCTTACCGGTAGCCAGGTCCAGGCTGGGCATAGCCCTGGGGGCCGAAGGGCGGCCGGCTGCGGGCGTAGGGGTTGGGCCCACTGGGCGAGGGGCTGAAGCCGGGCCGCGGCTGGTAGGTGCCGGCCGCTGCCTGGGAGCCGGGGCCGCCGCCGCCATAAGGGCTGGGCTGTGCAGGCGGCGCAGAGCCGTATGCCTGCGGCGGGTAACCACCCCCCGCGAACTGCGCCGCCGGTGCCGCCGGCGGCACCTGCTGCGCCGGGCTCGGGAAGGCGGCGGCAGCCGGGGCCGGAGCCGCAGTCGCGGTCGCAGGCTGGGTGTAGGCCGGGAACTGCTGGGCTTGCTGCGAGGGGGGCTGCGACTGGCTGTAGCCTGCTGAAAAGGCAAAGAGCAAAGTGGTGAGAGCGCAGCGAACCGCGGCACTAGCAGAAAGAGCTTTTGTTTTCCACTTGTTTACAGTGACAAACACAAAACAACGCAGGAAGCACAGGGAGGGCAAACCAAGAAGCAACTGCAATTGTTCCTGCCTTGCACATAAGCACACTGCCTGGTTGTCAGGACCCTACCCTGGCAGCACAGCAACACTGAAAACAGTCACTACAAAACGGTTTTCTCATGACTGACAAGAAATTAAAACCCCAACAAATAGTATTTTACCATCACATCACATGAAAAATAAAAGCTGTCATTAGCAAATGAGACAAAATGCAACCTTTCCCCCAAATAAAAACTCAAAACTATTCTGTCATGAAAAAATTGTCAGGGTGTAAATTTAAGTCATGCCTTTGATCAAATCATGTGTGTTTTTCAGTTCTTTAGAGCTCAATATGAGAAAGCTGTGCAGAACACAATACTTCAGCACAGAACTTCCATTTAAACATGTCCATCAAGTCCCAAATTTGATTTTTATGTATAAAAGCAGCTTCCCAGAGGAAATTTCCCTTATTGAAAGCTTCAAAATGACACAGCTGCTTTTACAAAGTAACAGCTACTTTCATCCACCATGAAACACACCTGCAGCTACTTGCAATGAAACCTCTCCAGTGACTGGAATCCTGTCAGCATTAAACACCAGACACACAAATTATTAAGAGTGCACAGCCCTGAACAGAAAGAGTAAGGACTGAACAATGCACTGGAGTAAATAAACTCACCTTGAAACCCAGATCAACATTTACTCATGAGACAAACCTCTGAAGGGTCTGTTTTTACTATCATGAGTAAATTGCCACTTTGTTCCTGGTAGATGTACAAGAGTTGGGAATAGATCCCATTCTCGGGGAACAGGGGTTTCAAAGGAGACAATACTCAGGGGAACAACAGCAAAACAAACAAGAAACCCTTTGAGGCAAGATCTCCAAAGGCTGCTGTCGCTACGTCCTCCAAAGGAAAAAGGCTGTTTCTGAAAGATCAAGTTCACTGAGAACTAAGTTACGAGAAGCAGAGGCACTGAGATCAGTCATGGTGGTGTTTCATTCTTAGGTGAGGATGACGTAGGTTAGAATGCAGAATCTCACCCTGCACTACAGCTTTCACAGGAACTTCTCCAGTAAAAAAAATAGATTGCGTGATGGTAGAATATGACTAGAAACCAGATGGAAACTACCCCCTCACAGTTTTTAAGTCTAAAGAACGTCAGACAGACCCTTCTACTTCCAACAGGCTTGCTACCTCCTAATTACACTTCACAAAGTCTGTCACTGTCTTCTAATTATACATGGGGGGGCAGGGGGCAAGAAATCTGCAGGGAACAAGGTACCATTTAGAGACCCAAATTAATCTGCTCTCACACAGTGCACAGGAACAAGGGTGGGGGCCTAAACCTTCAGTTCCAAGTTTTCTAGGGTTCTTCTATCCAAAATAAGTGAATATATTTCTTTATGAAGAAATGGAATTTCTTCATAAGAAGAAATGGAATTGCTTCATAAATGGAAAAGAAGAAATGGAATTTATGAAGAAATGGAATTTCTTCATAAATAAATTCAAAAATTTCGTATTTGACTGTACATAAACCACCAGTGTACCAAAAGTTTTTAGTACTGCTGCTAAAAGTCTACTGGCAGCTTTACCTGAGGCATCAGCAAAATCAACAACTAAAAAGCCTATCACCTGAAAGTTTCTCAGAAATTTACAGTACTTATAATAGCTAAGGAGTTAATGACAGCTATAATCAGTGTTCAACCTGCTAGATTTTGTACATGAAGATCATTCTAGATGCAAGAAACAAGGGCCATCTTTATATACCTATGGTATTTAAGTTAGCTAAATTAAGATCTTTCAGTCACTTGCCAGAATCCCAAGACTGCAGAAGTTAATCCTGACAATGGTTCATACTTCAGGTGATTAATTTTGCCTACCTTTCTAACAACACATTCTGCTGATTAATAATGAAGTCTGCTCTGGGTCACAACCAAGTAGGATAGACACCGCAACTCCAAACGTGTATTAAAAAATATAGACAGCTACGGTGTTCTCTTCTAGTGGTTTCTGAATTGTGCCAGTTCCCGTCAGAACCAGGGGTACTGTGGCTTCTCAGCATCCTGATCTGCCCCAGGCTCAGGAACTGAGCAAGCTGCTTACCTGGGTACTGCATACCATACTGCTGCTGAGGCTGAGCCTGCGGCT